GTATGTAATTTCTTGAGGTTCTCTTGAGAACGTTTTTTTGTCTACAAATATTTCATTTTACAAGATGGTGTGCTATGACTTCCAGTTTGCTTATTTCTCCTTGTGTATGTAATTTCTTGAGGTTCTCTTGAGAACTTTTTTTGTCTACAAATATTTCATTTTAAAAGATGGTGTGCTATGACTTCCAGTTTGCTTGTTTCTCCTTCTAATAGGTTATTTATTCTTAATATCTGCTGTTGTTCTCTTCTAGTTCCTAGGAATGACATCTTTATTTGGGGGGAAACATTCGTGTGTAGCCAACCCAGCTTTTTATCAAGCCCTCCCACAAAATACGCCAGTTTCATTGCACATCTGTAGATAAAGATGGGTGCCTAGGACAGCATAATACCTGCATATCAGCAAACCTTTTATTCTGTACAGTTTTGTTTTTACAAAACTTAGTCTGTATTCCTCTTCAAGCAAGGACTGATCACTGTGACCCCGCAGAGAAGTGAGGTGTTGTGTCTAGGGAGCCAGCTTCTTCAGGATGTGCTTCAGCCCCTGAAACTTCAGTAATCTGTAGTTTTGTCATTCATAGTATTGTTGCTACTAAACTGTTTTCCACAGTTTGTGGAAGGTCCTTTGTTTAGTACAGTGAAAGGAAAAGTTCCTTGGAATTACGTTGCTAGAAGCTCTTGGAGTGAAGTTTATAACTGAAAAGTTAGGATTCTCCTTGCAGTCCTATGAGGTTGGCTGCTTAATTTTTTTTTTCTAATAGTATCTTGTGTTACCTATATGGTCCAATAACATCTGATAGAAAGTCCACACTTTCCTTTAGGGGAGTCAAATGTTTTCTTACCAGATTGTGTAAGTATTTTGGAAATGCCAAGAATGTGTTCTATTCAAAGATGCCTTTGTCTCTTCTCCTTTGCAGCCAACCTAGCACATTCCCAATACTGGACAAACACCTATGGGCTGTTTTCAGTTGTCTTAATCCTTGTCTTTTTCCTTCTCATAAAGAGGTTTTTGCAGCACAATGAGGAAAACCAGTGTATGCTAGCAAAGTAATATGGACATTGTATATAGTGAGTATATGCAAAATTTTACTCTGAGTGTAGGACTGTTTTGTGTCCTGTGGTGTGTTTAGAGATCTCCAAAGGCCTCCCGGTCTGTGTATGGAGGAATTTGAAACCTTCAAAGAGTTTCACCGGGTGAAACAGGAAAAGTACTGACACAGCTGGCAGTCAGGGCACCACATAGAGTGTGAAAAACTGGGGGATAAATCTTTGTTCCCCCACATAGAATGTCATTATGGAAACACTGTCACAAGTGGCAAAAGTAATTTTTGAAGTTTCAAACCCCAGGATGCAGTTTGCCAGGCTGTTGGTTGTGTCGACTTGACTGTGATTTGAATCAGTAAAATACATATGTCTCTGTACCTTTAGTTCAACGATCTGTTAAATACTCATTTCACGCCCCTTGTAGGGAAGAGCCTTAGTCACTTGGTTATTGAATGTTTTGTGGTGGATCTCTCACTTTGTATAAAATTTATGTGGGCCTGAGAAGGAGATGCCACACGCATGTGTGCTGGTTGTTGGGGTTTTTTAATAGTACTTATCTAGTAAATGCCAGTATCTTTCAGACTCTATTGTACAAATATTTTAACATCGGGATTAGGAAAATATATCAAAATATGTTTTGAGCCTAATAAAGCCATGCAATTTGATCTTTATTTACTATTTTTTTAATGCCCTCCGGCCCCACTTTTCTCCTTATACCCTTTTCTCACCTCTGGAAAGAGGTAGGCCTTAGTAGTGCAAGTGTCTTGAGCTCAGCTTCAAAACCAATATTGGAGTGGAAAAAACTTCTGTGGCAAGACTGTATGAGAGTCTTGCTAAGCCCAGTCTGTGTACTTAGTTTTTTGAAGACGTATAGAATAGAATTAAGGAACGTCCAGAAAAGAATTAAGGAAATGACAACTGTGTCTTTGTTTCCCATGGCAATAAAATGAAACAATGAGTTTGCCTACTGCCAGTATTCCTGCAGTTACTCTATGAGATTGATAGCGAAGCTGGTGTCTGTTGCCAGGAAGAGCTCTGAGTAAAATTGATATTTGCATTTGGATTTTGCAAGTTTTTTTGCAAAGTTTGCCTTATGGTGTTTGGAAACAAATGGAATTCCTGGAGAAGATGCTGTCAGTCAGACTTAGAGAAATGATCTCTAAAATCAAGATAATTACTAGTGAACATTAATATGTTACAAATCTCCAATTTAAAGCTTCTTTAACCACAATCGTTAACCAAAATCGTGTATTTCTGTATGATGATAGCAATATGGGAGTCCAGAAGAAGGTTAGTATTGCTACCTTTGAATTAAGATGATGAGTTATTTTACAGAAATGGTTATTAATTCATCTGTGCTTTGTCTATTTTGTAAATCACCTGATTGAGGATTAACAGCAACTTCTGGATGATACTAAATGAAAGAAGTAAAACAAAATACTTTCCTACTATTTAAAAAACCTTAATGTATTTCAGTTGTCTTTATTTTTCCAAGACCTTTTTATATAAGAGCATAACTTTTTACAGTAATGTTTGATGTACTGGTGCTAAGCATGAGAAGATTCTTGGATCAGATGCTTAATTGATTTCAGCAATCCAATTGAAACCATTCTGTAGATGTACCATGAGCTGCTGAGAATGCTGTATTTATTTGCTTTGCTTGTGTGACCCTTCAGCTCTGGTGGTCTGCAGCTGATGAACTATATATTGTATAATACACTTGTGTTAGCTTGCACCAAGGATTGTCCTAAAAAAATGTCTTTCAGATTCATTTTTACCTAAATTATAAGAGCTCTGGGATATTGTTTCGTTTCTCTGGTGAATGATCGTTTTCTAAGCAATTATACCTTGATTCCTACAATTATCATCAAAATTGAATAACTTGTGTCTGACAGCTTCTTGCAGGAAGTGAGTTGAAACTCTTCTTGTTGATGGAAGTGCCAGAGTTTAATTCTGTATTAAAATGTTAGTTTGCACTTACATAACTGGACTTTCTGGATTATGTTTAACAAAAGTCATTATAGTTGCACTTCCATTTTGCTTTAAGGGTGTGAATAATAATGAAGTCTTCAATAGGTATGTGTCTGGAAAGTATCATACAATAAATACGAGGAGACCTGACTAGCTGATTGTAATTATAATTACTGAAAGTAAGATAATGAAGCTGAAGAGTTGATTGCCTCATTCCATTTCTGTTATCTTTCTGAGGTTAGCTTTGTTACGCTTTCTATTAGTTGTAACTGTTCAAAATTAATAGAAGAATAACAAAAGCTCCGTTCTCCATCTGGGAGAAAACACTATTCACTTTTTAAAATACAATTTAGGACACTTGTTATCAAGTGTAACAGTGCCTCTTAGAATTGCTTTCCAAAAGACTTCTTTCTTAACTGAATTAATGTGTTTCTGCCTGTGTTACTATTAGGATATTGAATTAGATACTAAAATTACACCGTTCATCCTCCTTTTGCTCCTTTAGCTATTACTAATTACTTGCGATTACCCTAAGAACATTATAAATGCAGCGTGCCAGAAAGCTGCTTGAAATTTTGTGTCATTTCAATTGTTCTTTACCAATTTCTGTTTCCGTACTGAGGACAAATATGTGGAGGAGCGCTGTTTTTGCATGGCCTTTTCTGCCTTTTTCTGTAATTGTGACTTTTAATTTTCTGCTTAAAGCGGGCACAGTATCACAGAATAGTTGAGGCTGGAATAGTTGAGGTTGGAGGATACCTCTGGAGATCATCTTGTCTAAACCCCCTGCTCAGAGCAGGGTCAGCCAGAGCTGGTTGCCCAGGGTCATGTCCACTCAGGTTTTGTGTCTCTAAGGATAGAGACTTCACAAACTCTCCTGTAAGAGGATGATCTTTGCTGTTCTAAAACATTTGGGAACCTGAACAAAAATGACTTAAGTTCACCAAATTAATCCTTTTTAAAATTAGCCGGTCCTCCTGTAGAAATGTGATTTGAGTATCTTTTTTTTTGTAATATGTGCATCGTATTCTTACTTAAAATTTCTTTTTTTAATTTTTTTTTTTTTACACTTAAAGTTCTAATTTCTGTTGTAGACCACTTCATCTCACAATTATATATATTTAATTCAGAAAAGAAATGTACTGGTTACCATTTTTGTATAAAAAGATGAAGTTAAAGTGGTAAAGTTGGAGTAAATATGTGATTTAAAGAAAAAAGTTTGGATTTGGTGCTAGTAGAAAAAAAAAGTCACAGATGTAGTGCAAAGACTTCAGTAAAGACCAGGGACAATGTACGCCTGTGCATGTTCTGCTGTTACAACCTAGTCAAAGGTATTTTGGGCTTGCAGTTGCCAGTAAAACAGCTGTCAGTGGATGAGCTTTTAAGTGCTGCAGGGTCCTGTGGGAACGAGCAGCATTCAGGTACTGTAATGTCTTGCCTAGATAAGTTCAGTATTCATTGCAAATTACTGAGTTTGGATTTGTTGTAATTTTTGTGTGTTTTTTTTTTTTTTTTTTTTTTTTTTTGTGATTACCAACCAAAATGAACCATGCCTTTGTTAGGAAATAGCAGATAATTAAGAATATTATTTAAATTGCGTTTTCCTGTTACTAACTGAAATGATTAAAATTGGTCATGTAAACCTTTTCATCCTGTTAAGCAACTGGGACTTGCAGATAAAGTCTAAATGACCAACTGGCACTTCCACCTGCAGGCCTGGGCTCCTAACTAGCTCACTTTTTGCATTACTGTGATGCTATGAGTAAGCATGCTCAGCATGGGGAAGAACTAACTTCTGTAGTTCATGCCCTCTTGTGGCTTGTAGGAAGAAATTTATGGTAGAAGTAACCTTTCCATTTTATTTTTCTAGGTTTCCAGCAAAAAACAAGGGAAAAATCTGGTAAATTTGCCTCTGATATCCAGTTGGTATCGAAGAGTTCAAGAAGTACCTGGAGTAAAAAGAGCTGCTGGCAAATGCAATATGGAGCTTCTCCAGCTTCCAGAGTTGATGTCTGCTCCAGAGGAACAGCTACAAGACTTCTCTTCAGTGCCTGATGAATTAGAAGAGGAGAATGAAGACAGTCATTTTGTAGGTGGTCCGAGGCCAACTATGACTAAGTTAATGGTAATTTAAGCTTTTTTATTGCTTATTTTTAATAATATTCTGCTTGATTTGGAATAGGTGAAATTCATTAGAATTGCAGAAGCTAAGTCTGACAGCCTTGAACAGTTTCATACCTTCTGCCTGTCTTCTATCTGATGAGTATTGACTTGGTGATTTTACTTTGTTGTTCTGTTACGGTACTTGATTGATTTGGGAATTGAGCAAAGATATGACTGCTGGAAGCCTATCAATAGTTCTGAGTAATCAGAGTAACTTTTTGTTTGAATTGCAGTATTGTGTTCCCCTCTCAAAGATATTTATATAAAGGATGACAAAAAATGTTTGGTTTATGTTTGGCTTCATTATTCTATCGTTTCTGTTGATTGTTTGCTATTTGATTAGAGCTTGGAACATCTGGGAACCCTAATGAGTTTTGTTAAAGAAAGCTTTCCATCATGTTCCATAAGTCAATGTCTTTTGCATAGAGGCTGACAAGATTTCCTAAAGAAAATTAACAGGGCTTTCTTGTGAAAATGAGAGAAATACCTAATTTGAACCGCGTATAATGTGAAGTCAGATACCTGTTTAGTTTCAGTTAGGCTGAAAGTGTTGCACAGTTTAATCTGATGCCATTAAACTCAGTGCGAATTTTGCTACCAACTTCAGTGGGTAAAGGATCAGGTTCTTAATTCTTTTTTCCCCCCTTTCACATAGGAAAATGGTATTGAAGCAAAGTTTTCTCCTCATCCATGCCCCAACTGGACCCTAGACTGGACCAATCTACCATCTGCAGTCAATCCTGGAGAAGGTAAGGGTTTTTATGTATGCATGTACGTATTTAACAGTGGCTTTTTCTGGTGAAGCTACTTAACTGTTTCATAGGAAAATATGTCACTTTTCAATGTATTTCAGAGCCCTGTAAAACAGGTAAGCAGTTTTAAATCTGTTTTAAAATTCACTCTGTTTGGGACACATGGTGAGATGACTTCCCTCAGGTCATCAACAGCTGATGACCAAACTGGGAACAAAAGCTTGACCTTGATTTCTGAACTGTATTTTTTCCCACTGCTTCCTACTTTCCTGAACTTTTCTTCATATCTTGAACAGTAAATTCTGACCACATGATCTTAATGTAATTGGCATGAATGTTGTACATGGACTGTGTCTCCCAAAGCAGCAGCAGCAGATTTTATTCTGGTGATAATAATATTCATTATCAAAGTTTGGGAGCTACTTATGAGTGAGGCTTCCCTTTTGTGGCCGTGTTCCCCGCCCTGTAGGGGTGGTTTGCTTTTCTGGGTTGCAGGGCAGTCTGATGCCTAGTGGCTTCTACAGAGAAAAGACTGACTTATCACTACATTTGTTGTTTTCGTTGGTGTTGTGAATATTGAATACCTCTTCCACCATACAGTAGAGTTTCTTCTAAAAGGTTTTACACATACTGCCATACAGTAAGAAGTAGTTAGTAGATAGTAACTCCTTTCTACAGGGAAGAAAAAGATTTGTGTTCTTTTTTATAGGTAAGGTAACTTAGATACTGGAGTCAGTCTAGCCTCAGTTGACATAGAACTTCTGATTTAAAGAATACAGAAATATATATGTAAGTTCTTCAATGACCGGTATGTGAATTTCCTCACAGAATATGTTAGGAATCACTGAAGAGCTATAGGCACTTACAAAAAATACTTTATTTATTTATTTTTTTTTATGTCTAACTATGTGAGAACAAGCATGTATTCCCATCTACAATATACAGGCTATAAAAATAAGATCAAATTTGATGTTTGTTTCCTATGGTTTGGATCTGTGTGCAGTTCACAAAGCCATAACAAAACCCTCATGTGTGCCATAAGTAGATGTATAGTTTTATATGAAGTGTCTGTCTTTTTAACAGGAACTATTTTCTTCTGGTTTTGTCCTGAGAGAACTCTTTACTGGGAAGTTGCACACCCTGCTTTAGTTATTGATCCTTTCTTTCCATTATCATGGAAAAAAAAAATGAAAACAAAACAAAACTTGGTTTTGTATCTGTCAACATTGCATCGTGTATCTTCAGGCTTTATGTGGATGTTTTGGGTATACTTCTTTGCTTAAAATAGCTTTGTAGTCTGACTGCTGAAATGCTTAAGGAAGATTCTATGCATTGAATTTCTGTGACAAGTTCCAGTATTTTGTCAGAAGTGAATAAACTTTTGCTTTTTTCCGATGCTCAGGGTTTTGGTTGTAAGTTTTAGTTCGTACTTTTGCCAAGATATCTCTTTTCTTCTATTTGAAATAAAATTTTGAAAAAGATGCATAAGGTACAAAAACACATAAAGAATGTGCAGGAAGGAGTCTCTTGGACTTGGTTTGACTGGGGGAAAAATCAACTCCCGCTGCTTCCTGCCTGCGTGCATGCTCGATCTCTCTTTTTCATGTTTGCTGAAGTAGTTACTAATGATGTCAATATCTGAAATCATTTTTCAGTCCGATTTCTGGGTAGATTTGCTAGCTCAACAAGGTGCTGAGAGAGAGAATTTTGCTTCCCTCCACCCAAAATCACAGTGATGGTGATGCCATTTTCTAATTTAGGGAAACTCCAAATGGTTGTGCTTTTAGCCCAGGCACAACAGAGTCACACAGGACAAAAAGAAGTTTTCGTGATATGAGGATTGATTTTTGCTTTTCAGTTGGATACATCTGCATGTTTACCTCTGCTGTTCTAAGTGGTACTGTTCTGTTTCCTGATTCTTTTGCTAGTACAGCCCAATCATTTTTGTAGGAATTGAATTTTCTGTATTTTACTACTAAATCCTATCTGGCATGCTAAGAAAATAGTCACTGAATCTTACAGGGTTTTAAACTGGGTTTGAGTAATGCAATTCGAGCTCTCAAAGCTCATTATACCTGTAACTGGTAAATAAATTTCCTCTTACTAATGTCTGTAACAGTTGAGACAAAGTAGAGAATGTTTCAGGTAAAACTCACTTTGTTTTTTATCCACAGTAAATTTAATTTGCTGTCAAATCTTAATTTAATAGCACACATGATATGCTTTCTTTGTTCTGTCTCAGCTTAGATAACTTGGAATTTGTGTTATATGTATATGGAAATTCTGGAATTGAATCGTTCAGTCTGTAAGTCTAATTAGACCACCTTGGTGTCACAACTGTTTGCTACAGAAAAGAATTACTGGTGATTGCACTTCTAATGTGTTATTTAGGTTATACTTTTAAGTTCATTCAGGTTTTTTGATAGGGATTATTTACTGTTGCAAAACTCAAGTTTATGACATTTCATTTGCTTAGTCATGTTTCTGCAGCGGAATGAGATAGCTAGAATAGAACAGACTATTTCAGTTGGAAGGGACCTACGATGATCATCTAATCCAACTGCCTGGCCAATTCAGGGCTGACCAAGTTAAAGCATGTTGTTAAGGGCATTGTCCAAATGCCTCAAACGCTGACAGGCTTGGGGCATTGACCACCTCTCTGGGAAGCCTGTTCCAGTGTTTGACCACCCTCTCGGTAAAGAAATGCTTCCTAATGTGCAGTCTGAACCTCCTCCAGTGCAGTGTTGAACCATTCCCATGTGAAAACTTCAGTTAATTCTAGTCCTCATGCAATTTTTAAAAGGTATTTGATAGTCCAAAATGGACTCATGTTTACGTTTTAGATATCCTCTAGCCTTTTAAGTTTCTGCCATTATGTCGATTACTTCTAAAATATTTGACTTTGAAAGTGTTGTGTATCAGCCTTGAGACATGTGTGAATCTGTAAGCCTTTGTGAGTGTCTAGACTGTATTTGAAACATTGCAAAATATCCCAAAATATAATACTTTAGTGCCCTCTGTAACTGTTGATATTCTAGGATATTGTAGTTGTTGTTACAAACTTTCACTTTTGGAAGGAATTTAGCACAAAAGGTTTAATTTATTTTAAAATATGTATTGTAAATGCTGGTTTCTGTTCTAGCATACTGTGTAAAAACTTGGCCAGTGCTTTAACTGTATTCTTTCTAACCTTGTTTTCCAAATCTATGTTTAGATCAGAAATATGTTGATATTGTCTATTAAAGCCAAAACCCCTCAGCACTTTATTGTTTCTTCCAAATCACATAGTATATAAAGACTTACTCCAAGCACACAAACCAAGTCTGTCTGGCTAAACACATTGCTTGATATCGAAAAATTAATTTGTGCAAAATCTCAAATGAAAATGCGGTATTTCTAAGTTATATCAGAAAAATACTGGAAACTTGTATGCCATTATAATAGTTAATAAAATACTTACTTGCAATAAATACTTTAGTTGGCCGTAGTCACAGCCCAGAGGTACTAACCAAGCTCAGTGCTTGATTGTGTTGAGCTTGGCATAGAAGAAAAGGTAGATACGGTTGTAAATATGTACAGACAGTAAAAGAAGAGGGTGGTAGGTCGGAATATAAAAGTGTAGGTGGTCACAATGTGAGACTGAAGTAAAATGAGATACTTGCATTAGCAGTACAGGGAAATAATCATATGATGTGTGTCAGCATGGAAAATGTTTTCACTTTTTCCCCTGTCAAGGTGGTGGCTGAAATTTTGGGAAGAGGGGCATGTTGAAATAAGAATGCTGAATGGAAATAGTGTGCTGCTGCTGATTAAATGTGAGATCTGGGAAAGAGGAGGTTATATTTAATTAGATTTGTGACCAACAAAAAAATGGGGCATCTTTTTTGTGGTTTCACTGTTTGTATTAGGCAGCAGTAGAAAGGGATTTTTTTTTTAATCCTTTTTGGAACTTAGTCAACTCTGGGGTCTGCTTGTGTTCCTGGTCCTGTGTGTCTGTGAAACTGTTCCTTGTATTCAGGTTAATTTCCTGTTAGCTGCAAAGGCTTTGCGGATATCAAGATCAGTTTGACTGGTTATGATTAGAGATGCTTCCTTTAGGCTCACCCAAAGCACATTAAGGGGAGGGGGAAAGTGTGTGTACATGGGAGCAGAAAGTGATAACCCTTGTAGCTGGTTTGTTATTCTGATGCTATATGGGGATGTAAGTCTTTGGTACTGTCATTTTTTCATCAAGCATTGTGTTCTCTGAAACAAAAAAAGGGAGAAAGGTTGTATTTTTTTAACAGGAATCTATTTTTTTTTCTTTAGAACAGCCTTTTATTTATATAAGTTTTTTACCCAATTGTGAAATTCAAGAATGAGAACTAACTGACCCACAGTCTCACAAACCCTTACTGCTTTACTCCTGAGTTGAAATACTTGTTAAGCAGGAAGTACTCAAAATAAGAAAAGTGCTTTATTTGTAATATCTCATTCTGAAATTACCAGCTAGACTGACAGGGTGTGCATGTGATGGTATTTACTTACAAAGGTAGTGGTTAGCTGTGAACAAATTTGTACTATTCTTTCCAAAGTGTGAAACTGCTCACGGAATGAATGTAGCAAGTAGTAAGCTATGTTCTGAGGGCTTGGAAGTAATGCCCCCTTGAATCATAGAATGGTTTGGGTTGGAAGGGACCTTAAAGACCAGCTAGTTCCAATCCCCCTGCCATGGGCAGGGACACCTGCCACTGGACCAGATTGCTCAAAGCCCCATCCAACCCGG